TAACGTTACTTGGATAACTGTGGCAATTCTAGAGCTAATACATGCCAACGAACGCTGACCTTCGGGGATGCGTGCATTTATCAGACCCAAAACCCATGCGGGGTGCTCTCCGGGGCACCCCGGCCGCTTTGGTGACTCTAGATAACCTCGAGCCGATCGCTGGCCCTCGTGGCGGCGACGTCTCATTCGAATGTCTGCCCTATCAACTTTCGATGGTACTTTCTGTGCCTACCATGGTGACCACGGGTAACGGGGAATCAGGGTTCGATTCCGGAGAGGGAGCCTGAGAAACGGCTACCATGATATAGGGTTGACCCTACTTCATCACAGGCTACCTGTTTGATCCTGCGTAACAACCATATATGCTTGTCTGCAAAGAGGGAACTGCCTGGTCCTGCCCTGGTGTTCCTCTACGGCTAGTGTCCAGCCGTCAGCTGTGCTATCAGCACATTTGACCCGCCATCGGAGGGCCTCCTCCCCGGGCCACATGCCGGTGCTTGGCGGTCGGAATAATAATATTTTACAGGGCTCAGGGGTCTGCACTTTGAAGCTCCTGGAGCAGACAAATATATGTGTATTTGCCTGAATGATGGAAATAAATAAAAAATGCTATTTTACAGACCATGACGGATATAGGTGTATTTTCACAGCTTTTTGGAAATACACCAAATGTGATTTTGCAGGGCAACATGAAGCTCATTTTACCCATGTGATGTTGTGCTGTACATTACGGACCTCCTGTTTAACCACATGGAGTACCAGGGGCACTAAGGGGCACTAAGGGGCACTAAGGTATTACTTGGATGCAGGGGCGGATCTACGGGGGGGCAAGGGGGGACAGCTGCCCCCCACTGTAGAGCCTTGCCCCTAGAGCTGACCCCCTAATTTTTGTTTCCCTAAAACTGTACTAAAACAAACCTACACTATTTCCAAAAGCTTCTCAAGCAACACAACAAGCATTACATTAGTTAAAAGTGAATCATTTTAAATATCATTTTAGGCCCGTTAAAAACGCAGCTACGGCCCTGCATTAAACTGCGGAGCGGCGTTCACACAGACCGCGGCTCACACCGCTGCAGAGAGGGAGCGAGCTGTCCCAGCACCTATGGATCAGCTTCCCCTGGGAGCATTTCCATTTCCACTAGTTTTGTTTTTACTAAGGACGAGTGCTTGAAACTAAATATTAATAAAACGCTGCCGTTTGAATCGATAGCGTTTAACAGACGGGCGCTGTTCGGGGCGTTACGTTACAAAATACTACGCAGACAGCGTTAGCTGGGAGATCGATCACTTTGTTAAACTACGCGGTAGCCTCCTATTAAATCCACGTAAACTACACATCACAGCCATGAGGCCAGATCAATGAAACCAGGATACATCCTTTACCGTAAAAACTGGATCCAAACACAGCTGCCTGTGTGCGCTTGATCAATACTTTCTGATGTTATATTTATGATATGCTACATATTAGCTAGGCTACATGGCCCTAACGTGTAAAGTTATACAAGCATTTGTACCAGTGCTTTTCACAAGTAGACTCTTGCAGGCCAGAGTATAGGAGTGATTCAACAACAGCAAAAAGACATATGAGAAGTGATCAGGACGAACAGAAAGAGGAAAAGGAAAAGAGAGATGAAGAGACCAGGAGGGTCAGAGCAGGAGGAAGAGGAGGAGATGAAGAGACCAGGAGGGTCAGAGCAGGAGGAAGAGGAGGAGATGAATACATTAGTGAAGAAGAAGAAATATATGTGAGGAATAAAGATGAAGTATCAGAAAGAGGGCCAGAGGCAGGGATCAGGAGGCAGATGAAACTCCAGCTGGACCACATGGTATGTTCTTATTCTCCTTATATATTCCATTACAGCAGCTCAATCTAGCAGCTCTTAGTATTGACAAATATTGATTGAAATGTGTTGCTGCACAGGTCACCTGTAGCTCTCTGAAGAGATGGCGGTAATGTCAATTGTGTACTTAATTATAATTAAGTACTTACAGTATGCAGAATTCTGAGTATTCTCTGAATCGGGTGCCTTTTGGGTCTTTATATCTTTGAAAAATGAAACCAAAATGTTTGGTCATAACATCTGGTAGTGGACTACTTACATGTTCCCACCTCAGGCACAAAATATAAATAATTACTAGGAATTTCCTTGAAAAAATGTAACAGGGTTGAAGTTTTTGACAAAAAGTAGGCATGAGACCTTGTTTAGCTAAGATATGGCACCACATGGAAGTCAATATTTTGCAAAACTATTGTTTATTTTTGTAATAAACAATTATTTACTATTATTAATTCATACAACATAGTTGAAATGTTGAGCTTGTCAATCTTAATCTAAAAATACAAAAACTGAAATATAGGTAAGAGAAGAAACTGACACTTTTGTGATGTAATTCCCTCAATGCAGATCACACATATACTGATCCATTATTGTAATAGGAGGGTAAATGGTATGGCGTGACGGGGTTGAAACAAACTGAGGGACAATATTGCAATTTCATAGATAATTCAAGTATTTTTTCAGAATTGATTTCTGATCAGTTAAAGTTGACAAGCATATGATTATATTAGCAGCAACATGTTGGGATAATTGGCCATTTTGATTTGTTTAATATTAAATTAATATGTAATAATGCTTAGTGAGGACATGCAAATATGTCTGTCTAAGACAACCATTTTTTTAAAAAACAAAATATATATTTAATTTTACATTGTTTTAAAATACATTTTGTAGTTTCCTTTCATTTACAATGGTTGAGGTAAGCTTGGGGGACTCAAAGGGCACCCAATTGTTTGTCTGAACACCTTGTTTCTCTTGTGCATTAAGAACACTTGTGTTAGGGCATGAATTAACAATAAATAGGTTATATACAGTATAAAATACCACGTACTGTCCGCCCTCCTATGCCACCCTGGCATGACCTCTTGCCCCCCCTTTTCCCCCCCATGTAAAATGTTCTAGAACTGCCACTGCTTGGATGTCCTTATGTGTTTAGTCAGAGTGAGAGTGCTTGAGTTTTGGTACACATCTTTGCCTTGCGCACCCACATGTGGAAAGACAAAATATGACAAAACAGTTCAAGTGTGAACCTCCATCACGGGGGGGGTGGTGCCTTGAAGAAGGCCGAATATTGATGCTGGTGTGCGGACAGTACAGCACCACAAAATCCACCACCTTTAAGTATAACCAGGGGCATGAGAACATCCTCCACAGGATGGTGGGTGGTGCTGCTGTGAATAAGGCCGAATATGGATGCTGGTGTGCGGACAGTAAAGCACCACAAAATCCACCTCCTTTAAGTATAAACAGGGGCATGAGAACATCCTCCACAGGAAGGTTGGGTGGTGCTGCTGTGAATAATTACGAATATGGATGCCGATGGGCGGACAATAAAGCACCGCAAACTCCACCCCCCCTTTAAGATTCCCAGGGGCACGAGGTTCTTGAGGGTGTGATCATCTGGGTTTAGTCCGTGGGGGAGTGCTTAAGTTCGGGGACCCGGGGACCCAAGGTGCTCGAGGTTATGGAGGTGGGGGTCTTCCTGGTGCTCAAGTGTCCATATACGTCACCCCATATTCACATAACTTTTACCCGCCTTAAGAGACACTATTTTGGGGTACAATTGATCCATTTTCACCCCTTTTCTCTGGTTCTTCCAAAAGTTAACTTAGACTTTTTCTGACTCTGGAGGAATGTAACGGGAGTTGTCAGGGGACTATATCCGCCTTAAGAGACACTATTTTGTGATACATTTGATCAATTTTCACCCTTTTCTCTGGTTCTTCCAAAAGTTAACTTAGACTTTTTCTGACTCTGGAGGAATGTAACGGGAGTTGTCAGGGGACTATATCCGCCTTAAGAGACACTATTTTGTGATACATTTTATCCATTTTCACCTTTTTCTCTGGTTCTTCCAAAAGTTAACTTAGACTTTTTCTGACCCATGTGCATCACCCTGGATCTCTGCCTATGTGCCTGTGAAATGCCTGTGAAATGCTGCTCTCTCCCTCTGTTCACATCACTTTTACCCAGCTTTCACACACTTATTGCTGGGTAATTAAACCAGTTTAATGCACTTTTTAACACTGACATACCCAGGATTCAAGCTTCTTTCCTGGGTTACATAGTGCTGTGAAGCAGCCTGTCCTCTGGGTGGGAGAGCGAGGTGCTGGAAGGAGCTGCTCTCTGGGTCACAGCCTGCTGCTGCTGCTGCTGCTGCTCCTCTCTCCCCCTGTATTTACATAACTTTTACCGAGCTTTCACACACTTATTGCTGGGTAAGAAAGCCATGTGCATGACCCTGGATCTCTGCCTGTGTGAGTGTGGGACCCTGCTTACAGTCCGTCGTTTGGGGCTCTGTCACTTTGGGTAACCGCACCACTGTCAGACGTCTCCTGAGAATGGACGTGTCACTTTAGGTAACCGTACCACTGTCAGACGTCTCCTGAGAATGGACGTGTCACTTTGGGTAACTGCACCACTGTCAGACGTCTCCTGAGAATGGACGTGTCACTTTGGGTAACCGCACCACTGTCAGACGTCTCCTGAGAATGGACGTCCATTCTCTCTAAATAGGGTTAGGGTGGAAACCACCTAAGGGTCGGAGGTACAGGCAGCCCAGTAGCTGAGCTGCTGCTGGGAAAAGCAGCCGACGACCGGCCCCGGGACTTCAGGGCCTAGCCCCCCGAGCTAAAGCGGGAGAGGGCTTTGGTGTCTCTCCAGCATGCATGGAGCTCCTTCCGGTACTCCTCTGAAGGAGGAACGGTGAGGGGGACAGGGGCAGGGCTATGCCTGAAGAAGGCGCTAGCCTGAGCCGCGTCGGACTGCGGAACCGGAAGCTGCAAGTGTGCCAGGGCCGCACGAATAATGGCCGCAATGGAGGCGTCCTCCACGCCCTGCAGAGAGCCCTGAGCAGAGGAGTGGGAAGCCTCCCCGGGAGTGAGCGGGGCCTCGTCCTCCACCTCTTCATTGAAGAGGTTAGCCGAGGCCGCTAGTGACATGGCATCCTCATGTAGGATTTTGAGAGGACCTTACAGGAACTGAACAAAGAACTATTTTCTTTTGGGGATTTATTTTAATTTTATTTGGGGTGCACCCAAGTGTGAAGCGCTTTAAAAACAATTGGAATTATTTAGAAGAATGTTGTTTATTCCTGTGCCAATATATATATATTTTCCTTTATAAAATTTCAGTATTCACTTCATTCACTCTGGTGTTTGACTTCATTTATCGTTACGACCCCCTCCACTCCACTAGAGGTCTCTGTCTTTGTGTTCTGCTTGCTGGCTCTTGTTTGTGTTTCAGGTGATCAACCTGATGAGCCACACCTGGGCCGGCTACATAAAAGGCCAATACCAACCCATACTGCGGTCTCACTCTTCTGTTGGACACGGCCGCGTCTTTGTTTCTGCACATTTTCACACACCCATACACGCAACCATTACTGATAACTGACTTCCACATTTATTAGGTTTCTTTGAAGACCTTTGGTTTTTGTGGTATTGTAAATAAATATGCTTTTTGTTACACTTAACTTGTCTAGTCTCCCATCTTTGTTGCAGCCTATGAGCCAGGCTGTAACATTTATGCAGTTGAAAGGTTCATCCTTTAAGAACCTGGAATACTGGTCCAGTTTTCACACACCTGACAGACTGGTTACATTGAATAATTATGTTGTGTGTTGTTCTCTTAATGTTGCACATTGTCATTTGACAGATGCTTCAAGTTAAACTGATTCATCAAGGTACTAATATGTTGTTTTATGTGTACTTGTATGTGTAGATTATGTACTTGAAGATAGCAGACAACAACCGGGCTGACAGCCACTTGTGTTTCTTCAATGAAGCTGTGAACGAGCACGGGTTTCCTCTGAGGTATTCACATTATTTCATATGTAATCATTAGTGTAATTGCGGACCTTTCCATCACATTTAGATGCTCCCCTCCAATGGCTGCATCAGTGACGACCACTTTACTTATTATTGATGGGACTCAGTCATTGCAAATAATGTCGTGCTTTACTGTTAGTTCAAAGAGGCCATCTGAACATATACACTGAACAAAAATATAAATGCAACACTTTTATTTTTGCTCCCATTTTTCATGAGATGAACTCAAAGATCTAAAACATTTTCTATATACACAAAATAACCATTTCTCTCAAATATTGTTCACAAATCTGAAAAAATCTGTGATAGTGAGCACTTCTCCTTTGCCGAGATAATCCATCCCACCTCACAGGTGTGGCATATCAAGATGCTGATTAGACAGCATGATTATTGCACAGGTGTGCCTTAGGCTGGCCACAATAAAAGGCCACTCTAAAATGTTCAGTTTTATCACACAGCACAATGCCACAGATGTCGCAATTTTTGAGGGAGCGTGCAATTGGCATGCTGACAGCAGGAATGTCCACCAGAGCTGTTGCCCGTGAATTGAATGTTCATTTCTCTACCATAAGCCGTCTCCAAAGGCGTTTCAGAGAATTTGGCAGTACATCCAACCGGCCTCACAACCGCAGACCACGTGTAACCACACCAGCCCAGGACCTCCACATCCAGCATGTTCACAAACTGTCAGAAACCGTCTCAGGGAAGCTCATCTGCATGCTCGTCGTCCTCATCGGGGTCTCGACCTGACTCTGGTTCGTCATCGTAACCGACTTGAGTGGGCAAATACTCACATTCGATGGCGTCTGGCACGTTGGAGAGGTGTTCTCTTCATGGATGAATCCAGGTTTTCACTGTTCAGGGCAGATGGCAGACAGCGTGTGTGGCATTGTGTGGGTGAGCGGTTTTCTGATGTCAATGTTGTGAATGGAGTGGCCCATGGTGGTGGTGGGGTTATGATATGGGCAGGCGTATGTTATGGACGACGAACACATGTGCATTTTATTGATGGCATTGTGAATGCACAGAGATACCGTGACGAGATCCTGAGGCCCATTGTTGTGCCATTCATCCACGACCATCACCTCATGTTGCAGCATGATAATGCACGGCCCCATGTTGCAAGGATCTGTACACAATTCCTGGAGGCTGAAAACATCCCAGTTCTTGCATGGCCAGCATACTCACCGGACATGTCACCCATTGAGTATGTTTGGGATGCTCTGGATCGGCATATACGACAGCGTGTTCCAGTTCCTGCCAATATCCAGCAACTTCGCACAGCCATTGAAGAGGAGTGGACCAACATTCCACAGGCCACAATCAACAACCTGATCAACTCTATGTGAAGGAGATGTGTTGCACTGCATGAGGCAAATGGTGGTCCCACCAGATACTGACTGGTTTTCGGACCCCCCCCCAGACCCCCCCCAATAAAGCAAAACTGCACGTTTCAGAGTGGCCTTTTATTGTGGCCATTCTAAGGCACACCTGTGCAATAATCATGCTGTCTAATCAGCATCTTGATATGCCACACCTGTGAGGTGGGATGGATTATCTCGGCAAAGGAGAAGTGCTCACTATCACAGATTTTTTCAGATTTGTGAACAATATTTGAGAGAAATGGTTATTTTGTGTATATAGAAATTTTTTTAGATCTTTGAGTTCATCTCATGAAAAATGGGAGCAAAAACAAAAGTGTTGCATTTATATTTTTGTTCAGTGTACTTGGACCAATAAGTTAAAACAATTGCCATTATAAACTGTACCTTTCCAGGCCACAAAAGTGCTGTCGGACACAGCCATATCAATTGTTAATTCTATGTGAGCCCCTCACATATGACAATATATAAGCTACATGTCAGATTTTCCCATCCCTCAGCTGAGATTCATGTACTGTACAAAAATATGAAAATATAATCTATTCACAAGCTGATGTGAGCCATCCCTCATCCAAGTGTGGAAGATAACTCGAGGTTTAATAAAGTGAAAGAGAACTCGAAAGGGTTACAGTTAAGGTGTTGTCCAGATATCTCAAATATTTATGTCCAGAGAGAGCCATTTGTGATCACATTATGGATGTAGATCATTATGGAATTGTACCCCTCGTTTTTTGGACCTTCAAATACATAGATTTTAACTATGCATAATTATTTGATTTAATTTCCAGAGTGAGAGGAGATCATGGTGGAAAAAATGTGGGAGTAGCACAATTAATGTTCTCAGTTCGTGGAACTGACAGTAACAGCTTCATTACAGGGAAAAGCGTACACAATCAACGGTGAGTTAAACCTAATTTTGTAAGCTTATGAGCATATTTCTTCTTCTTAAAGGGAAATGGAAACACTTTTCAAACTGCTTTCCATGCGTCAATATTCCCATTAGGAAATGTATTGATCTAGTCTATTTCCAATGTAAACGATCGAGATACGCACATTTATTTTTTGAAATACGTGCCTAATGACCATGGGCGCTTCCATTGCTCCGGGACTTTCCCAGTGATGTCACTGAGTGGGTACGGCTTCCTGGGCCAAAACTCAATAACAAACAACATGGCGTGCAATGCACCAGTAGTTTACATTAAAAGAAAACGGTCGTCATCAGGAGTTTATTGTATTGCCCCAGGCTGCACAAATGGATTTTATACGAAGAAGGAAGAAGTACATTTCCATAGGCTGCCACTAACGGATGAGAAGCTGCTCAAAGCATGGGTTATTTCCATGAAACAGTCCGATCCGCCGCTGAATCAGTACGCACGTGTGTGCAGCGAACACTTTAAAAATGACGATTATGTCCACAAAATGAGGTTTGATGAGTCTGGATGCCTGGTTCAATACAAAACATCGGATTTGAAGCCAGGATCTGTTCCCACAATATTCGATTTCTCAACGTATGCAGTCGGGAACACCGACCGTCCCAGCACGTCGGCCGCGCAAGACAATGACAGTGTCAACAAACATGAAGTTCGAGCCACCAAACGAGTTGCTTCAGCTGCCAAGAGAGAGGTAAATATTGCAGCACTACCAGATTACTAGCTCACACATGTATTTACTGACACAGTGTGACCTTATTAATTAACGCAATCGCGTCCAAACTAAATGGTAGCTATTATTATGATGTACAATGGAGAATTGGGGTTGTTCTATAGCTCAACTAATTAAACTGGCATACACACGCTCATCTGTCAAAAACAGCCCTAAAAAGGCTAGTATTGCTGGACTAGGTGTTCAATGGATGGTATTGCCAAGATGTATGAGGTGTTGGAAAATAATACAAAATATATGTCAACTGACCACTGGTACATGTGGTAGCCTGGAGTATACTTCATCAAAATGACTGCCCATCCTTAGCCCTGCTTGAGTATTTTCTGAACATGTGCTTAATAATAACACAATCCTTTATAAATAATATATTTTGCTCTGAATAATAACAGTTTGAGAGTTTGCTTAAATAGTCTTCAAAAACAAATATTTTCCTATTTTTTTTCCAACGGCCGAGATACACATAGGTCTAAATAATTATAGGGCATCTCCATGGAGCTCAGGCTGATTGTTTGCTCTCTGATGGGCTGTGGTGGCTCGATCACATTCTTTTAATTCTTAGGTTTCTATGAACAGTTTCTTTATTTTACCATTATGGAATAATCACATTGGTAAATAGTGGCGATGGGGTTTTTCCGGCCAACTTATCACAGTCATGATTTTGAATATTTCTAGTTCACCTTAACCTGTAACATATTTATATTGTTTTGTTTCAGATCAAACGAGCTGTCCATACTGCTGCAGGATTGTTGTCCTGTCAGACAGAAGATACATCCTGCATAGGTGCTGATGATGCAAGTGATGATTCCCAGGTACTGGAGGCACACACAACTAAACGTGGGCAGTCAGTGACTGTGGCCACACAGACGGAACCACTGGAACCATGCCCGTGTAAAACTGTGACTTTGGTGAGTGTGCAGACTGGGACCGATGACATCAACAACAGTCAGTTGCTCAGTCATGATCATCCATATTGCGTCAGCAGGGACATTGCTGGTGGATCCGCCACACTGGCACCTGCAGATGCAATGGCCAAAGCACCACCGAGTCCAACACCTGATGTGTCAATGCCTGAAGAAGATGCTTCCAGCTCTGGGGAGAGCATTCCAGGGACTGAGCCTTCTTCGTCGGACTACAGCCCTACTGAAGATGACATTATACAGAATGACAGCGAAGACAGCGAGGATGATGGAGAACATTCAGTGGATGGCGGAGAAGATCCAGTGTCAGACAAAAAATATCTGGTATCCCATGCACAACTGATGAAGCTGTTTTGTGTATGCAACTTTGCCGGATGCGGAAAATGTGTGATCAGCAGGCCGTACTGTTCAGCCAAAGGCTTTGGACTGACAGTGAAAACTGACTGCATAGATGGCCATGAGTTTGTGTGGACTTCTCAACCCCTCTTAAATGGCACAATGTCCTGCAACCTGTTAGTGCCAGCCGCGATTTTCCTGACTGAAAATGCTTATGGCCCATTTTCTGAGATATGCCAGTGTCTGGGCCTGGAATCACTCTCGACAAGACACTGCTATAACATCCAGAGAGTGTATGTGCTGCCGGAAGTTACCAGTGTCTGGAACTTGCACAATGAGGCAGTGATGGCAGCAACTGGCGATCAGGTTGTCACTGTGTCAGGCGATGGGCGATGTGACAGCCCTGGTCATTGTGCTACGTTTGGAACGTACACCATGCTTGATATCAACTCAAGGCTCATCATTGCCCAGCAGACAGTGAAGGTGACAGAGGTCAAAAATAGCTACTGGTTGGAGCCTGTTGGACTTGAAAGATGTATTTCCAAACTACAGGTATTCTATTGTTAGTTTGTTTATTTCACAGGTCAATAGTACATGTAGTATTGCTACAATATATTGTATAATCTTTTGTCTAATTTTAAATAACGATTGTCAATTTGGAATAGAAAGGTTGTGATGTCTAGCTGTCTGCCTGTGCCATTGTATGTATGGGATCTCTGCTGATAGCCAAAGATATATAATGTATGTAAATGCGTTACATGATATGCTAGAGAGGCCATGATTTCGGACAAACATTGTCACATGAAAATATAGAAATCCACCTAAATTGTTAAGTCTTAAATTCCATGTTGCAAAAATTAATCCTACAATTGACCAAATTGTGATTTTACATGAGAAAATTGCCTGGCCCTCTAAGTTTGACTTGGACACGTGTGATAGAAATTGAAGATGTTGGCTTTATTAAATTAAATGTATGGTAAATATCTTTTCAGGATCACAATGTGACAATTTCCATACTAGCCACAGACTGCCACCCTGCAGTGCAGAAGATGCTACGTGAGGACCACAAGACCATCAAGCATGAGTTTGACTTGTGCTGCAGAGCAGGAATACCGAGCTGAAGGAGTGGGTGCGCATGGTATCCAACCATCTTTGGTACTGTGTGTGTACATGTGATGGTGACGCGTTACTGCTGAAGGAGAAATGGACTTCCATCCTCCATCATATCATTAATGTTCACGAGTGGCTGTCGGCAGAGAAGATGCTGAAGTGTGAACACGAGCCTTATTCTGAAGAGGATGGGAGTTCCCGACCTTGGTTGGAGCGTTCATCCAAGGCCTTTGGCACTCTACAGAAAGTGGTCATGGACAAGAGACTGTTGAAAAAACTAGATAAGGTATTGTCTTAATTGCCCTTCTTCATTTATATATTCTGGCCTTATAAATTCACCACAAAGCAGTATATTTATCTAAAAAGAATATATTCAACGGATGTAGCCCTGAACAAACAGTAAAATATGAAATTGAAAATATGTAAAAAAAATAAATACAAACACATGCATAATTAATATCAGTATTTGAATTATCCACCAACCATGGGTGATTATTCAATAGTGATGTTTGAGAATTGCATGTCTGGCATCTCTCGACTCCAATAGTTCGCAATCTGACAAATTAAGTAATAACAAAAATGCTAAATAATGCTGACATTCATGACCCACTCTGTTCAATTGCAGGTTACAGAAGGGATCCATACTGGCGAGCTGGAGAGCATCCATTCTTTGTATACAAAGTACGTTCCAAAGCGCAAGAAGTTCACGGAGGAGAGCTTTCAGGCACGCGTTCACCTCGCTGCATTGGATCACAACCACAACATCGACCGTGAGCAGGCACAGACCAAGAAGGGGGCACTGCAGTTCAAACTGCAGTACTCGAAGCCTGCTGGAGGATATGTGGTGAAGGCGATGAAGACACCAAAAAGCTACAACTTCCGAAGAGAAATCATGGTAGGGGTAGTCGAGAGGTGTTTATCAGCATCGTCCATGAGGTCCGAACTTGCAGAACACCGTCATACAGATGCAGAGAAGGAGAAAAGGACACTTGGTGCGCATAAAGGCCTGGTAAAACCATCGAAGGAGGATGCTGTGGCACACCACCTAAGTCGATTTGTGAACAAGTAATGTCGGTCTCTATGTGTCTGTCGTATATATGAAGTCAGCCTGTGGGGCTCAATGTGTCTGTGGTGTATGAAGCTTAGTCAACCTGTGGGGCTCTGTGGCAAATAAATAAAGGGCGTCTATGGCTGAAGTAATATATGCTGGTAGTATTTGTATATTATTATTTGAAGGGTAAAAACATAGTTCGGTTCAGGAAAATGGTCTTTATTACTTTATGAACATCGAGCACTGAAAAACATTTGTAGAATCTAGTGAGATACATGTATATGCTTGATAATATAAGTTGTAAATACTGTTCTGATATATCACAAACATTGTATGAATGGTTCCATTATCAAAGTAGAATTTTCTTCGCTAGCCTAAATGTCACGATTTCACTGTCAAAGATTTGCCTTCCATGCATGGAATCATTGGTCACATCACATCCATCCAGAATATTCAAATCCTTTGTAGGTTACTAATGGGTAGTGACTTCGTATCCGATTCACAACACAGGCAGGTATCGACACTCTGTTCCCTTTTCCAAGGAAACCTCTAGTCCAGATGGTGAATTGCCGATAAGCTGTTAGTCTGTAGAGGCTGAAATAAATAGGATTCACATATAAATACAAATCATTTAATTTAAAACAATTATATATTTTTAAATAGGGCCTACACTTACTCGCTATTTATTGGTCGTTCGAGGGTTGCTGCATGCACGTCTCGTAGTGATACCATTGCGATCGCCAACATATCATTCTCGATGGAAACCATAGGGAACAGTCGGTGTTCCATGATACACTGGAGATTATTCCCGTCTGAATTGAGCATGTGGTCGATACCAATTCCCCTGCAACATCTACATTCATTTTCCGATGGCATCACCACACAATTGTTACATGTACACCAATCTGTGTTGTCCATTCGTCCCGGGTTTTGAGCAACATCTTCTTCCTCTGAGACCGAGTCGGTACTGGAACTGGTGGTATCCCACTCTGCGAGTTCAGAACCGTCGGTACTTTCGGCGGATTCCGGATCGTATGCCACTCTAGTATTCGACCGAATCGGTTCATAAGCATAGGCCATGGGATGCCTGGTAACTGTAGATGCTTCCACATCAATGTCATCTCCCGACGTATAGTCAAATTCATCGTTCAAAACGTCGATCTCATTGCAAAATTCCTCCATTGCTGCCATATCTGCTACGTTGTGTTGACTTCCGGTATGGATACCCGGAGCGAAGACCCACCCAGTGACGTCACCATTTGGGACTCCCCTAATGGCGGCGGCCTGGTCCCGGAATTCCCCACCCGGCCGGCCAACACACTCTCACTCCCTAAGCGTCCAATAACGACGTTTGGTCAGTGTCCGTGGCGTCCAGTTGTGACGCTCCTAGGCTCCTTCAGCGTCATAAAGTGACGCAAATAGCTTTCAACTGATTGCAATGTATTCCCATCTGCGGCGGGATTTGACGCTCATGGAAGCACGGCATTCGTTTGTGTCGGGCTGCCCTTAAAGGCAATGTGAGCGTCCATTCCCATTGGATAACGGAGAATTGTACACCCGGAAGTAAGTATTCCCCTTACTGTCGATTGATTTTACAGTGATATCTGCACTACTCATCGACTAAAAAAACACCAGATTATCCTTGTTAATTACACAACATTGATTGGTTTAAATTGTGTGCAATGCTTTTGTATTTTTCCCCTTCGATTCGGAGAAACAAATATTTTTTCGGAGTAAAGGATGGCAGAAGACACTACACTACCCAGAATCCCCAGCTATCGTTTGGACTACACCATGTGCTCTGTTTGACAAACCCCTTTTTTTTCACCATTCATTCCAATGGCTGGCGTCTATGTCACGTGATCTTCAAATTTCTCCCTGCAGAAAAATAAAACATGGCCGAACTTCGTTTTATTCTCGGTGGAAAATGCCTATTTTAAAGTTAGTTTGGCCATTAAAATGCGTTTTGATGTCATTTGATGCGAGAAATATGAGTTGTTATTTCAGATTATGTGTGCAGTGGATGTACATGATCTTTAGTTTGCTAATTATTACGAAGATTACTTCAGGAAATCGCAACGTTTTCATTGTTACCAAGGTGGTTGCTAGGGACGCTGCTATCGATATTATTTCTGTTATGTTGTGTAACTGTTTAATGGTGTTATCTTTATTGCTACCCCCTTCCCCGTCAATGTATAGTGTTGATCCACAACGCAAACATATTAGTTTAACAAAATCCGCATCTAAAGATGCGTTATTTTCCCCTGTGCAATTCCAGTCTCACATCTCACAGCACATCGTCATTAACAAATACCGGAAACAGACCGAAAACATTTAAAAAAAAATAATAATACTTTATTCCGAGTGTGCTTGATTTTCTCTTTGAAAGTCATCACATAATGGCATTGTAATACACGGTTCGGCTGCATTAAATATTACATATCTGCCGTAGTTCTCTATTTATAGAGCCCTGATGAGAAGACTTCTAGACAAACATGAGGAACTGAAAACGTGACGTGGGTCATAAATATATCAGCAATTAAACAACATCTTACATTTCTTTTCACACAATACGTCTCCTTGCAGTATCAACACTAATTCGGCTGACTTTTATATTTGATCCAATTGGTAGATAGGCTGTATTTACACCATAAAGGTGCACAGCTGATATAAAGGGACACCTAGTGGTTAAAGCATGTTATTGAATTTCATTATTTTTATTATTAGATATTAATAGGATCCCTATAAAGTATATTCATTACTCGTTATTCTCTACTAATAGTTCACTAAAGACTGTATATAATTACTATTTTGCACATCCCTTTCAAGATTTCAAGATTTTCTAAGGTTTATTGACATATCATATAGGCCTACACAACTATGGTGTTGTTCTGCATTGAATGAAAAACTTGGGTCGCAGGTTCCTCAATAGCGCATTACAAGACATCTATCAATATTTGTGCATACCTCCAGTAATGTTAACTATGTTGAAGCACTTATTTTAACTGATATTATACATAATGTATTATACTCTTATAAGATGTATGTAGATATTTCATCTCTGGCCTTGTCAGGTATTGAACAATCAATACATAAAGAACACAGAATTGTTAAATATAAAACACAGAATTTGTGTGATTATACTAAATGATTTACAAATAAACACCACTGCATAATGTACAACTGTAACACATGCTGATGTAACGCAAATGTTTCCAACCTGGGATCAATAAATTATATCTTATCTTAAGCTGATCGATGGCTACTGCCATATTTGCAAAATTTGCCTCTGAACCTTGACAAGTGCATGTTTCAGGCTTATCAATTAATGTAATGTAATGTAATGTTATCTATTAACAACAGGAGGGGTCAAAAACATAAGACCAGCTGTTAAATAAAGCTCTTCTGACCTTAGCTGGCATGTGTGTATATATATATTAATGTTGCCCATTATGGGCACAAGCCATTTTCACCCATTTATTAATTATATGTTTTACATTTGAGTGTTTCCTATCCCCTAAACCTCCAGGGATGTACACAGTTTAATACTGGCAACTTCTTATTATGGGAAATACGAAAACGTCTTTTAAAACTACAACTCCCAGTAGAGACGTGCCATAGATAGAGAGCATGTTGCGAAACAGAATAGACAGCATATGTAGTTCTGGGGACGGGGTGGGGGAGGGGGGGACGCGGTGGACCCGTTCAAATCTAGTTTTGGACAGTCTGACGTGGTTCCATCCAATTTCAAGTGCTGTTCGAGAATCGGCGTAACCCTCGGAGCACACTCACCAATCACAGAGCTTGAGGACTATCACGGGGTTTGTCAAACAGAGCACATGGTGTAGTCCAAACGATAGCTGGGGATTCTGGGTAGTGTAGTGTTTTCTGCCATCCTTTACTCAGAAAAAATATTTGTTTCTCCGAATCGAAGGGGGAAAATACAAAAGCATTGCACAC